TATCGTTTTATAGAAGAAGCGATGTATAAAATATACATCATTATTGGGTTGATTATAACAACAACGCTATTTATCTTACAAAGTCAAGCGTTCGTTTACTTGTATAATACGGAAGATGGAACAAATATTGAAGCATTTGATTGTGTTTATTACAAAGAGAAGGTATTTGATCAATTTGTACCATTTTGTCGCCGAGTTGGCCGTTCTAGTGAAATCGATCGAAGGAGTCAAACATGTGCTCCCAATTCTGAAAAGCATCGATTTTCTGACTTACGTCGTAAAAATATTAGTATAAGTGAACTACTTCGCTGGAGTTCAAGTATCGAAGTAGCTGATCAATATGCGGCATTTTTGAGCGGTAATCTATACCAAACTGATGGAATCATATGTGAATGTAAAACACCCAGCACATTCGGCAAATTTTGTGAGTATGAACTGTATGGTTACACAAGTATTAATGAAATTTTGAATGCTCAATTCCAGCATAAAGGTAAAATCAGTAATCAATATAAAGATCAATTATATGGACATATTTTATGTTATACAACACTTGAATGCGATTCAGGTTTATTATGTCTTGATTTTCGAGATATTTGTGATGGTCGACAACAATGCACAGATGGTTGGGATGAAGAGAATTGTGATAAATTGGAGTTTAACGAGTGTGATAATGATGAATATCGGTGTTTAAATGGCATGTGCATTCCTCAACAATTTTTTTTAGATGGTGACTATGATTGTATGGATAATACTGATGAACAAGTAAATGATCCCATTGCATGTGGCCGACAATCAGCAAGTTTTAGATGCGACGAACGTCTGTGCAATCGAGATAAGTTCTCATGCGGTAATGGATACTGTATTGAACGTATTGTGCGAATTCCCTTTCAACAAACATCCTCAGTTATGAGTTGCGATACGCTACGCGAATATTTGTATCAGTGCGAGTTATCTCGGTTTCAACCATTATGGACAAGTAAATCTGGTCAATGTCTTCCTCTTATTCAATACAATATAATGTTGACCGAAGTTACGGACTATGGAAGTTTATCCATTGAAGAGAAATGTCTTTGGTTAGTCAAATGCGCTCTTATCGTTCGACAAGCACCTTGGTGTCCCTGTTTCAGTAATGATTGTGCTAAGAATATTAGTCATATGTGCCATCAGTCGTTAATAATTTATCCTTTTGGACGGGTATTCAACACACTTATTACTGTGGCTTATGCACGGAATCGAACTAATTGGCATGATACGAAACCAGAAGTCTTCTTCATTTCTGGACGTCTTAAGTGTCGAGGTTTCCATTTAACTTTCAAAAAAGATGAAATTGGTCCACTACTAATGACTAATGAATATATCGAATCATTACAATATGATTCTTATTGGTGTAACTTTAATTTAAAATTACAACATCGAAATATAACTTCATTTGCATCTCATTACAACTTGAATTGTGAACGTAACTCATGCACTTTTAGTGGAAAGCCATATAAATTTGATGATGTATGTGAAATATCGCGTGACTGTATATCAAACCATCGGTTGCTCGATAAAGTTAAAGACTGTTATGATTCATTCGACGAAATTATGAACACTAGGATCGTACCTGCTTGTTTATCTAGTAAACATCGCTTCCGTTGTTCCGATGAACAGCCAACATGCTATTTAGTCAAAGAATTATATTTTGGTACTCCGGCATGTACTAATTATCATGATATTTATCTTTATGGAACTGGTAAGCCAGTATCTTCTTTTAAATGCACGTCCACAGATCAATCAGGTTGCATTGATCTTCGTAATTATATTCGTGATCATGAAAAAACTGCATCCTCACAATCTACCGTCCCTTACGTTCATTATTGTGATACATTTTGGGATGCAAGTTCAAAAATAGACGAATTATCCATCAACTGTCAGCAATGGGTATGTTCGTCAAACCAATATCAATGTTTGACTGGACAATGTATTTCCGTCAGTACAATATGTAATGAAGTGTGGGATTGTTCGGATGCGTCTGATGAGCATGGCCTATTTGCTATTGATCATCTTTCGGATCATAATAGACGTTTTTTAAATCTTACTACTCTACGTATGAAATGTATCACTAGATATCCTGAATATCAACAACCTTTCCATACAATATGTAATCGTTCGGTAGAGTATCCGTGTTTATTGGCCAATGTACTTGATCCTACTGATATTAATACAAATCGTCCCTGTATTCCATTATCAAAGATTGGAGATAATATTATTGATTGTTACGGAGGTTTAGATGAACGTAACATTCAAACATCTTGTTCGAATAATATATCAATGCAACATTTCGAATTTCGTTGTCCAGATTCGAAAGTTTTAGAATGTATTCCATACAATCTGCTGTGTAAAAAGCATTGTTTGGGTGATGAACCTATCTGTTTCTATCGACGAGGTATATTGAATGGCTTTTGTTCAAAGGAAGAAGAATTTCTTTGTCTCGATGGAACATGTAAAAAAAATGTGAGATGTAACCATCGTGCTGAATGTAGTCATGGTGAAGATGAATATTGGTGTGATTATTTTGCAGCTTCCTTTACTATAAGGTTTCGCGCACTCGACGAATTTTTGAGATCATTGATCATTAGACCAAATCCATCGCTCGTTATTAGTCGACGGCTGCAATTAGAAACTTTTGATGACAAAATAGCTTTTGCATGTAACCGTGGTATCGCCGTTCGACAATTAAATAACTTTGTTTGCTTATGTCCGCCAAGTTATTATGGTATTCATTGTGAATTTTACAGTGATCGTATTAATTTTATTATTCAACTCAATAGAATACAAAACAAAACATTGAATCTAGTGGCATTATTATTTTTTAATGATCAAGTTATCGATGAATTTGATTTCCGTATATATCCTTCGACGAAACTACAAAAGCATAGATTTCATTTAATATATTCACGATCTGATTTTTATCTAAAACATAAACGAAATCGATATTTTAGCCGTGATAATATTATTTATTTTCATCCTTATAGTATTCAATTTGAAGCCTACGAACTCAAAGAAGACGAAAGTATTCAATTGATTGCTATTTGGAACTATCCATTTTATTTTGATTTTCTTCCTTCATTTCGATTCAGTAAGATCCTTCGATTCGAATCATTTAATAATGCTTGTTTGAGTAATTCTTGCTCAATAAATTCCACTTGTTATCCCATTCTTAATACTAATACATCGTTCATCTGTCAATGCAAAAGTGGTTTTTATGGTAAAAATTGTGAATACATTTCAAACATTTGTATATCTCGATGTACTCCAAATTCAATCTGTAGACCTACATATCGAGGAATAATTAATGGAATGGATCATCCATTATGCATTTGTCCAATTAATCGATTCGGTCCTACCTGTCATATTGATTACAATGAATGCCATTCACAACCTTGTGCAAACAATGGAGCTTGTCTTAGTAGATATAATCCTATTGGTATACACGCATATGAATGTCAATGCACAGATTATTTTTATGGAGATCATTGTGAGTATAAGAAAAAGTTAATGGAAATTCATCTTTTGAATATAACTTATCATCCATTAAAATTAATCATTCGATATTATGACAGTTATGGACCGACATATACATTTAAGCCACGAATTCAACAAATTTATTCTTCACTTCCGATCTCGTTTCAATATTATAACGAAAATGTCGATAAATTGTCAATTGTTCTTCTCACAATCTATGAAAAATATGATAACGAACCACTTTATTTTCTTCTGGCTATTCAGCAAAATACGACATTCATTAATAAAACATCATCATTAGAAAATCCTTGTCCCGCTGCCAACAGTTTTAGAACAATTAAAAATGGTAAGAATAAACAATTTCAGTTTAATTTAACCATCAAATCCTTTATATTTTTTCTTTCAGATCCACATATCCCAACTGTTTTCAAATATCATCGCCTGTGTCACTCCAGTAATACGAGTTTGTCACCGAAATGTTTTCATGATACCAATTATCTTTGTATTTGCTCGACTTCTAATTCTCGAGCAGAATGTTTTAGTCTGCCATCGGATAACTGTTCAAAATGTTTATCAAATGGTCGTTGTGTACAAGATGTGACAGTAAATTTAGCGAAAGAACCAGAATTTTTGTGTATATGTCCACGATGTTATTATGGTCATGTTTGTGAGTTTAGTACATTAGCATTCAGTTTTACACTTGATTCACTGATTGTTCAAGATTTGTTTAAAATTCGATTTGTTTATTTATCTATTGCATTACTTATCTTTCTGATTGGGTTGTTCAATAATATCTGTTGTTTTTCTACTTTTAAACGTCGCGCAACACGAAAAGTTGGTACTGGAAATTATCTGCTTATTGTGTCAATATTAAGCCAAGGGTCGATTTTATTACTTCTTCTCAAAATTACACATATTCTTATAAGTTCAAATAATTTACTTGATAATATCGAATCAATAAATATTATTACATGTAAAACTATTTCATATCTTCTTTCTATATCTACTCGATCAACATATTGGTTACTCAGTTTAATAAGTATTGAACGCTTATGTCTTGTTATTTATCCATCAGCTACTTTACTGAAAAAGCCTAAAGTAGCTATTTGGTTGAGTTTAATTACAATTTTGATCATTTTTAGTATGCATATTCATGAGATATTTTATTACACAATTGTAAAAGATTCAAATAATGCAACACTATGTGCGATCAATTTTGTACAAAAACATGTTTTACTTTATGATCGTATTACTGTTCTTTTTCATAGTCTTGGACCATTTATTATTCAAATTTTATCAATTAGTTGTCTTATTGTAATGACAGCAAGAAGCCGACATAGAACAATAAAACATAAAAACTCAAGTTTTGCCAGTGATCATATAATAAAACAATTCAAAAAACAAAAAGAATTATATTTAAATCCTGTTGTTATTATTTTTAGTACTCTTCCTCAAATAATTATTTCATTTAGTTTGGCATGTACTGAATTATCAACATCATGGAAAAGATATATTTTATTAATTACATATTTTCTTTCGTTTCTCCCACAAATGCTTAGTTTAATTCTTCATATACTACCATCAACTTTATATAATAAAGAATTTCATGAAACAATGATTTATAAGCTTTTTATCAAGAGAATATTTAAATTACGACATGATTGAATTTATGTATTTGAATATAATGCTTTATATGTTTAGTTGTAGTATTACTTTCAATATATTGGAACACATTATCGTAAAATGCGAAAATATATTCTAAATGTTGGAAATTCAATTTATTTAATTGCTTTTGTCTGAACTGACGTTTGTTGCATTTTTGTAAAAATTCTCTAAGTTATTAACTATATCTGTGCACTGTATTTGAAAAAAAATAAAAATTGAAAATGACTTTCATATTCTTCAAAATACAATACGACCCATAAATCAATGCTAGTGTTGTTCGAATCTTGTCGAAAACCAACCGTTCTTATGCTTGAATTTTTTTTAACTCTTAGAAAAATGTCAGATTTCGATTGAAATCACGCTCTTGTTTATT